GCTCTCTGCCGAGGACAAAGGCTAATGAGTAAAGTGACATCTCAGCGGAACTTGAGCCTCAAAGGCCAGGGGACAAACTCAAAGTCCCTCACCTGGCAGGAAGCTGACCTTGGCTTCACCACCCACATCTGACCACCCCAGAACCCCGATCTCCACCCCAGGACCACACTTTGGATAGGATGCCAACTGAGAGGGATTGATCTCGGGTACTGGGAGGTTCAGGCCCCAGGTGCACCCAGACACTGAAACTCTGGCCTTGACTTCACCTCCTGTAAAACGCTTGCTCGGAGGTTTTCTGGTCCCACCCTGAGCCCCAGTTCAGGCATTTCCTGTTGGGCAGCCTGAGTAACTGAGTAACGGTCACATCCCCCCTCCCGGGGTGGGGGTGGGGGTGGGGAATGACGCTGCAGGCTATCAGTGACCCACATTTCTTAGAACTCAGCACAGGGGTGGGGGTGGGGTGGGGAGGGGAGGGCCTTTGTTGTGGTGTGTGTTGGGTGGAGACTGGGCCTTGTCCCAAGCCACAGACAGAGCGCTGGGGCTGGGTGCTGCCTGTGCCACCTACTGGCCACCCTCACAGTCCTTTTACTGAGAGCTGCGCTGAGCTCGGTAGACCAGGGTCAGCCATGTTTCCCTAGTCAGAGTCTCCTGGGAAACAGCCGGGACTGCTGTCCTCTGCTGGCGGCAGGGGGAGCCCGAGCCGAGCCGGGTGCTCTGGGTGGTGAGCGCTCCAGCAGTCTCCTCCTTCTGCCCTGAGCCTCGGTTTCCTCATCTGTACCATGGGGGTACCACCCACGCCCGCCTCGTGGGGGTTCCAGGGGGCGACCCACCGGATAAATGCAGAGAACCACGTGTGCCTGCCATTATTGACGGGGGACCTGGGGCGTGAGGGCCTCCTTCCACCCGGGCGCTGAGGAGGTGGTGTTCTGGGCCCTCTAGGATCGTGGACGTGGGGGGCCAGAAGTCGGAGCGCAAGAAGTGGATCCACTGCTTTGAGAACGTGATCGCGCTCATCTACCTGGCCTCGCTGAGCGAGTACGACCAGTGCCTGGAGGAGAACAACCGGGAGGTGAGCCGCCGCGCCCTGGGCGGCAGTGCCCACAGCAGTCACAGACACACGGGCACATGCCCACACACACACTCACTGCACCACACACACTCATCCACATACACAACTGCACACACTCCACCAAGACGCACGCATCCAACCACATGCACACTCACTCAACAGCACATTCAACCAGCCACACGTACTCACTCACCCACTCACACTCACCCACCCATATACTCATTCAGTCACACACTTGCTCAATCACACCCATAGATACACACATGACACATACACTCAACCACACGCTCAACACACATTCAATCAGATGCACACTATACACACTAACTCAACTACATATACACTCAACCTCACAACTCAACCAAGACATATACATCCAACCACACACACTCACTCAACACACATTCAACCAGCCACATGCACTCACTCAACCACACTCACACTCACCCACCCATACACTCATTCAGTCACACACTTGCTCAGTCTCACACACACACACACACAAAGACACATACATCCAACCACACATACACACTCACTCAATACACTTTCAACAAGGCACACACAACCGCACACACTCAATCACACACACTCAATCAACATACAATCACACATACGCACACACTGAATACACATTCGCCCAGACACACACATTCACTCAGCCACACTCACATTCAACCAAACACTGATTGAATGTGTGTTGTGATTGAGGGTGTGTGTGGTTGAATGTATGTACCTTGGTTGAATGCGTGTGTGTGTGTGTGTGTGTGTGTGTGTGTGTGTTTGAGTGAGTGTGTGTCTGGCTGAATGTGAGTGTGGGTGGTTGTGTGTGTGGCTAAGAGGTTGTGTGTGTCTGGTTGTATACTTCAGACATAAATTCAAGCTGACACCACTGATACACATGTGCACACGCATACACACATACTTCAACAGACACACGTACACTCCATGCACACTCTAGACACACACACGTGCACACCTACAACACTCAAGCAGACATCCCAGACACACACACTCATATGTCTACACACGCTCAACCAGACACATGGAAACTCTAGTTATAAGGTCTCACACTCAGGCCTCCCGAGAAACCCCTGGAAAGGTATGCCCATCCAAAGACTCCTCCTTGGAGAAGTTACAGGCGTGAACCCATGGTCACATGCACTCAGTCACCTTCAAGCTCAGAGTCACGGCCCCTCACGCCCTTCATGGCCGCTCATGGTCATCACAGCTCTTATTACCTTCCCGCCTGCCCCCCACAGTCCCTCATGCCATCCCAGTCCCCATGACCTTCACGTCTCCTCCCAGCCCCTCCCAGGAAGACTGGTCACTCTGCAGGCACATTGTGGCCTTGACTGAGAATGGGTGGAGGTGGCTCTTCTTCCGTTAAGGGTGCCCTTCCCTCCTCACCAGCACCCCGCCCGCAAGGCAGGAGCGTGGTTGTCTTCTGTGCTCACAGCTTCCCAGCAGTCAGCACTAGGAAGGTCGGCTGTGTTAACGTTGGCTTTCAGACCTACCCGGGTCCACTGAGTTCTGGCACATCTTGTCCTCGAATTCAGCTGCACCTCTGGGGCCACATTGTACTTAGGTGTGCCAGACACAAGTACAGCTAGGAGCTGCTGGCCTGAGGTAGGCACGTGGGCATCCCTCCTGCCATGCTGGCACAGGCATCCGCACGCACTCATCACACGTGGATACGCAGCCCTTCGTGGGCACTGGCAAAGAGACCACCGGATAGGCAAGAGCCAGCTGGGTCCCGAGAGAAACCACAGGTGCAGCACATTCGGGAAAGATACTCAGACTCCCAACCACAGACCCATATCAGCAACCACATGTGCTGAACACAACAGCCACTCAGGCCTAGTGGCCACCCCCACCCCCACCCCCGCCCCAGGCTGAGGGTGGACACAAAGCCATCATAGGCAGCTGGCTAGACAGAAACACAGGCACACAGCCCTCAGATCTAGTCAGATAGAAGGAGGTGGGGGCCGGCTCTCTCTGGGTTTCCTGGAAAGGCTGGGCTAGCTGGCAGGAACCCTGCCCCTCCCCAGAACCGCATGAAGGAGAGCCTGGCCTTGTTCGGCACCATCCTGGAGCTGCCCTGGTTCAAAAGCACGTCGGTCATCCTTTTCCTCAACAAGACGGACATCCTGGAGGAGAAGATCCCCAACTCCCATCTGGCCACCTACTTCCCCAGTTTCCAGGGTGAGTGGTTCCGGGCCTTTCTATGAGCAACACGTCCCAAAAGCAACCCCCTGAGAGCATGACGGGGCAGGCCTTCCTCTAGAGCTTCCACTCGGACTCAGGATCAGGTGGACACGACGTCCAGGTGCCGCTCTTTCTCACGACCCAGCCTCCCTGGGCCTTAGTTTTCCCATCTGGGAACGGGGGGAAATAAAAGAAGAGGTGTCCCTCATAGGCTGTTCAAGTTAAAGTGGGTGGTGGGCGTGTTGGAAACATACCTATTGTGGCCCGGTGCCACTGAGCATGTTCCAACTCACGTTGTGATTGTCCGGGCACCATCAGGGCAGCCACCGCCCCCCAACACCCCTTCCCCCCAGCCCTCAGGCACAGCAGAACGCAGCACAGCGCTGGCTGCACCAACCTCCCACTGTTGCTAAGCTCGAGCCCATTGGTGCAGCCGCTGTGTCCAGCCCCCTCCCCCTCGGTCTCCTGACCACGTGTCCAAAACACGCGAGGCAGAATTTCACCGTCCTTGCTTCCGAGAAGCGTTCTGACCGTCCTACTTCCAAGACAGGGACCCGTGCTGCCGGCAGTCCTTGGGACGGGCAGGGTTCTCTGCTAACGCTGTATAATGGAAAGGCATCCGTTCTTCAGTCTCCTTGATTCGCCGGTCAAATTTCACATGCAAATGAGGCGAATGAACATGGGTCAGGCCCGCCTGAGACCTCAAGGTGCCTGCTTTCTTTCTTTTAAACACTTTAAATAAATCTTTCATTCAAAGGGAAAAACAAAGCTCACTGCCATCGAGCCCGCTCCGACTCCTAGTGACCCTATTGGACAGAGTAGCACTGCCCCTGTGGGTTTCTGGGACTTTCCATCTTTACAGGTTGATCATTCCATCTTTACAGCCTCGTCTTGCTTCCACAAAGTCACTGGTGGGTTCAAACCGCCGAGCCTGTGGTTAGCCACTCAGCACAGAGCCCACCAGGCTCCCAAATAGAGTCGGTGCAGCAGGCTTTCCC